CAAGGTTTTTATATATTAAATAATATATAGTCTAATTTTTAAACCATTTTCCATTGTCATGTGTTACAGGAGGTTCTAGTGTGGTGATGCTTAGTAGGGAACTATTAGCATAAAAGAAGGTGAAAACGCGTTTTGAAAAAGGTACTTCTTCTGTGACTGATATTGTTTTAGCTTTGTATTTGTTTGACTGCGTGGTGTTGTTTTGTTTTTTATGTGAATAATATTAAATGATTAGCCACATGTTTTCGATATTGAACACATTCTATAATATTTTAATAGAAAGTATATATTAGTACTAAAATGTTCTTAATTGAGTATACAGTTTATGTCAAAATATGCAATGCTTGCACATGTGTTCTGTAGTTAAAACATTTGGATATTGAAAACATTATGTGAGAATTTAATATATCATATATGTCTTAGATTAAATATTCTGAACTGAAGTTTTATTATCAGTTTTATGGTTTGTGTTATTGTTTGTTGTTTCAAAATAAAAGTACTCTAAAAAAATAATAATAAGCATTGTGTATGAAATTATTAAAAGCAGAATTTATCGTGTACTTAATAGTTTAATTTGGTATTCAATACATATTACATTACATATGTAGTGCTTCAATACAAAATGCATAGTATGTGAGCCTGTGTGCAATGCTTCCACATGTATTCAGTAATGAAGACATTTGGATTTTGAATACATTATGTAAGAATTCAATACATCATATATTTCTTATATTAATTATTCTGAACTGAAGTTGTATTATTAGTGTTATGCTTTTTGTAATTTTGTATTATTTCAAAGTAAAAGTATTTTTAAAAAATAAGAATAATAAGGATTGTTTATTAAATTATTCATATCATAATTAATTGTGTAGTTAATAGTTTATTTTAGTATTCAACACAGATTACATTACTTATGTAATGCTTCAATACAAAACGCACAATATGTGCGATAGTGTGCAATGCTTCTACATGGATTCAATATTGAAAAGATTTTAATGTTGAATACGTTATGTAATAATTCAATACATCTTTTTTATATGTTTTGGAAAAAATAGGCTGCAATGAAAACATATACAAAATAAATATGCATTATGTATTATCATAATCGTGCATTGAATCTTCATATGAGTAGCATTATTTGATTAACACATTATGTGTGTGTTAGTATGTAATATTTTGTTATGTTTAAGATTCGAGTTAGTATTCAATAAAGAACATATTAGGTGTAAGGTCCTGGAATGGATCTTACCAGTGATCAAACAATCAAGACAATCAATAATAACAAGAATGAAGTAGAAACAGAAATCTAAACAAGCTTGCACACGCTTCTATTAGCAAAAACGCCTGGTACAACTTGTGGAATAGCAGCCGAAAACTTTTTGGCATGAACAATCAATAAAAGACCTAGCTATCATCTATATATAGTGGACCTGGCCGGCCTTGGGTTTACGGCCGTAAACAAGCTTATGACCGTAAACTCACAATCTGGCCGTAAACTGCTATACAAACTACCAAAATCGTATATTGACACAAAAGAACATATTACAACGAAAGCCTAGACCAAACCATTAATTAGATCCTTCAATCTCCCCCTTGGTTTGGTGCTAGCTTGAAGTTAATCTTTGTCAATTATCATCACATCTTCTTGTCCCATTGCCCCATTCCACATGCGCTTGTTTATGATCTCAGCAACCATGGATGTGTATTCCTTCGCGACTGAGTCAAATATCTCCTCAGCAACTTTAATATGATGAAGGCTTAGATGATGAATGTACCATTTCCTAAACTGGAACAAATCCCTTCTATCATACAAACAAATTCATCCCTCTTTTAGTTTGATAACAGCAGATGCTGTAGTTTCATCGAATACCCAATAGAGCATAGAGCTTAGGGATCCATCCGGGTAACTTTGAAGCACGGGAATTTGTTTGACCTGATTTGTTGCAGGCCACATCACCACCTGAAGTGGATGACCAGTTTTGGGATCAATGATGTAAGGATAATGCTTTATTACAGATTCAACACTCTTCATAGATGGAATGCCCTTCTTCACTTGATCTTCAAGAAAGTGTTTGAACTTAGTTGCTTGTTAAGGGTTTGAAAAAGGAGATCAGGACAGCTCTGAAAGATCAACCCTAGTCCAAGAATAAAAATGATGAAAATCTTTATAGAGCTCCATGTTTCCGCTCTTTCTCTACACAATCCACATATTTAGGGTATCATGAAAACCCCAAGAGATGATTCCTGACCGATCACCATATGTGTCTCTAAACCTTATGGCCTCGAGATCCGTAACAATGATTGTGGATTGATTCCCTGGTGCATTTTTGTCGGAACTCCTCTTGAACAAGAGTTGTCCCTTCTGGGCAGCTTTAGCTTGTCTGTCACGAATAATCTCTGCAACATGTGGAGCATGAGCAGGCTCTTCTTCAGAACGGTCTACGACCCATGAAGTCTGAGAATGAATATTGATTCTATACTCATCTGCAAATCTTTTATATTTTGCACCAAAATCTTCTTCAAGCTTCGTCTTTAAATCAAAATAGCTGGAGGTCAGAAGATTAAAATGATCTTGGAGCTCAGAGATTTGCTTGGTCTTTGTTGCTCTATCTTCTTGAAGATCAGAAACTTGAATCTTCAAATTTGTATTTTCACTCAAAAGATCTTCAACTCGAATGCTGAGCTCGATATTCTTCTAGTCCAACACATTCACTCTCCTCTGAAGCTCATCAATCACAGAATCATCTTCTCTTGAATGACCTTTTCTAAAAGCAATTCCTTTGGCTTTAGAAGAAGGTGCAACAGTTTATTCCTGAGCAAGATGCAAGGCCAAACACACATAGGCCTCATCAAGATCTGCCCTTGGAGTAAAAAATCCTGGTGGAGCAGAGGAGCCACCGGCTTCAAAAATGGTGCTAGGACCTCCACGTAAAGGTTCTATTGATACAATAGCAGGAGTAGTTGTTGGCGTAATCGGCAAGCCGTGAGTCAAGCTAGAATCCAGAGACCCAAACCTAGGATCACATCTTCTTATTTTGGATGGAGGCTGCAAGGTTTGGTCTGTTGTGCGATCACCCTGAAGTGGTTCAGATATAGGCGAGGCACTGTCAAGGGGAGGAATCCCTGACACTGTCACCATTGGAGTTGTAGAACTAACCACTTGCTCTTTAGAAATGGGTTTTGAGTTAAGAACATCTTCAGTATCCCTTATCTTCGTTGCTAGGAGAGCAACATCATTGATATTATCCAGCAAAGTGTTGAGGTTGACATCTGACAAGAAGTCATCATTGCTTTTAAAATTGGTAGGAATTTCATCTCGATCAAAACCAGTAAGGTCAAGGTCTTCATATTGATCAGTCTTAGTCGCATTCATGGAAGACCCTTCATTATAGTTGCTTTCAATTCGAACTGATCTCAGGTCATGCTCCTCAGCTACAACCACATTAAGAGCAGTTGTCTCCTCCCCTTCTTGATTTGATACAGTGATCACATCTCCTTCTGAGAGCACCTTTTCTGACGAAGTGTATTCTGAAGATATTTTATTCGAGGATCCGTGGGACTTGGACGCCTCATTCGGCTCAGCAAATCATCCGAATTTGATTAAAGGATTAAGTCCTTGAAAAGTAACCTTTCCTTTGCGATTTTGTTTAATTAGCCCAATAGTGTGAGGGCCCAAGGACTTCATGTCAAGTGTATCACCTTCCTTTACCATGTCAGGAAATTGTTTGTTGATGAAAAGCTGAATGAACCTGGGATACATCAAGAAGGTATCCCGAGTGATGGCATTGATGTTGACGACAAATTCATCCAGAATAAACCTTGAAAAATTGAAACCAATTCCTGCAGCGAGAGAAACTATAGCTCTGGTGTTTCTCAGTGATATTTCATCTACACCAGACCTCCTACCGGAGATGCAGCTCACGAACACATGGGCTAGAAATCTCCAGTAGGGTAGCAGAAGCTTTTTCAGTGTAGGTGGAGAATCGCCCTCATACCCCATCTTCCTCAAAATCTTCTGAGTATCTTCAATACCGATTTTAGTGGCAAAACTTGGAAGGTTATTGATCAACAATGTTTCTCTAATGAACTGCTCACTGATCACACGCTTCTATTAGCAAAAATGTCTGGTACAACTTGCGGAATAGCAGCCGAAAACTCTGTGGCATCAACAACCAATAAAAAACCTAGCTAGCATCTATATATAGTGGACTTGGGCCGGCCTTGGGTTTACGGCCGTAAACAAACTTACAGCCGTAAACTCACAGTATGGCCGTAAACTGCTATACAAACTACCAAAATCGCATATTAACACAAAAGAACCTATTACAACGAAAGCCTTGACCAAACCATTAATTATACCCTTCATTAGGTAATCATTAAATACATCATATATTACTTATATTAAATATTCTGACTTGAAAACATATAAAAAACAAATATGCATGATTCTTATTTGTGTAGTGTTATCCCTAAGCATGAATTGAATCTTGACATGACTAACAATATTTGATGAAAGTATGTAATATTTCATAAACTCAATTTTTAGTTTGGTGTAGTAGTCAATACAGAATACATTATGTATTTTATGCTTCATTACATATTAGAGTAGTGTACATACATATAATATTTTTGTAATATTCAAGGCATAAAACATTTACAAATATTATGCATGATTCTTATTGGTGTAGTATTATACCGATCATGCGTATGTTATTTTGTGTTTGTTGTAGGCGAATCAAGTGTTAGTGTAAGTAAGAAAAAAAGGAAAGATGAACATTATGAAGATAGTGAAGCTGATGTTGATGTCAATGTAAGAAGAAGTGGTAGAAAAAAAAACTAAAGTCATAAAAATTGAAGTTTTAAAGGAAGATGATAAGAAGAAAGGAATGAAGAAAAGAAAAACGAAAAGAAAGAATGTTGTAGAAAATGAAGATGCAGATGTTGAGGACGACAAAACTCAGGAGTTGCAAAAAATAAGTTGTCGTATGTCCCCAAAATAAATGTATATGGCGGTGAAGGGAATGTCATGCAGCCAGAAAGAAATGGTGAGACAAATGGGTTTCGGTGCATTCCTTGATATAAAGTTAGATTCAATACCTTCTAGATTGGCTTACTACCTGGTGGACAAATTTAGAGCAAAACATTCCACGATTAAGACTAAGAAAGGGGAAATACTTATTACAAAGAAAACGGTTGAAAAAATGTTTGGTTTGCCAAGTGAAGGTTTAGACTACAACCAGTTGGTGGAATGCAATAAAACAAATATAGTTATTGAAGCATGGAAAAGTCAATGTCCAGGAGGAAAGTTCAATAATGGAAACTATGTGAAGAGGATTAGACAATCGGATGTGGCGGATGACATGTTCAAGCTTAATTTCTTGACATTATTCATAAACACGTTTGCAGAGACAGAAATGAGTGAGGCAAGCCGTATTAATTGTCTGGAGAAATTAGCAAGGTGTGAAGATGTTCAAAAAATTGATTGGTGCAAGTATCTAGTGGAATGTTTGGAGAAGGCAAAATACAAATGGAGGCCAAATGACGCAAACTGTTATTACACAGGTCTGGTCATGCCGTTACGTTACTGGTAAGTATTTTTAAGTTTGTGCATTTAGTTTTGTTTTATTTTTTAATTATGTAATTAAAATAATATAAGATAACTTATTAATTATGATGTTACAGCTTACATATGAGGACAAAGTAGTTTTGAATGGCTATAATCTCCGCAGATCAAGGCCATTGATAAAACATATTGACTCAGTGGATTTGGATATGTTGGAGGAGCATGGATTTAGAAATGGAAAATTTGGAACCTTGGAGTTTCGTGCAGATGGGGAAGTGGATCCTATTGATGTAAATGGTGATGAGGATAATGTGGTAAGTTATTTTAATATTTATGTCATATTTTTTGTAATAAATAATGTTATACATAAGAAGATATTGTAACTCGTTTTTATTACAATGACAGATATGTGTGGAATCAATTGAAAAGCTATATAGTAGGATCTTTGATGATAAGAAAAAAAAATGAGGAAGCAATTAAGAAGGGGTTAGAAGAGGATGCAAATGATGATGTGGTAAAAGAGTGGTCACGAAAGGTGCAAAAACATTTTAATGTAAAGAATGTGGAACATGTAGATAATATCTCGCCCACAAATGAAGCAACAATGAAAATGCCCATTAAAGTTGCAGTCAATTCTGGGCAAAGTAATTTTGTGAAAGGAAGTGGTTTTGTGAAAGGAAATAGTCCCATATGCAATGTTCAATCTACTGGAAGGAATAATAAAAAGACAAAGATTGTAGATGGGTGTGACTCATCTTCCATGCTCTTTCTGGAATATAAAGGAAATACATCATTGGATAGTCTAGTTGTTCTGACTCCTGGTTTTTTGAATATGTCCGATGAGATTGTGGAACAGAGCATGAGAAAGAACAAGGATGTTTCAAAGATGACATACCATCATTCGTGTCACACCCCCAAACCAAGGATGGCGGAAACGTCCGGGGGTGGATGACTTCATGTAGAGTATCACAACAATGAGTATAATAGTGCTCAAAGTAAATACAACCAACACAAATATAATTGAAAACGTTACATCAAAGCACATGTTTACATGATTCACATCAATTACATTATGATACAAAATGAACTGTTTGACGATTTATCGTCCCATCCTCAAAACGTTGTTGATTTCCTGTTTTTACTGAATTCCTGAGAATACAAGTAGTTTTGAAAAGTGTCAACTCAAAGGTTGGTGAGTTCATAAGAGATTTCGTTAGAAAAGTAAATCGTTTTCCTTGTAAAAGCGTTAGAATATGTATCCAGAAAATCCGATATTTTCTTTAAAATCTGTGTAATGTAGTCTTATGACTGAAGACCAAAATGTATAAGTAACCTTTCTTATTAATAGAAAATGTTATGTATTTAAATGGACATGGACGCTTTTGAATTAAATGAAATTTCTGTACGTTCTCATGTTTGTTAATACATTATATATATGTAGTCCTAAATTAGAGGACAGAGTAATAACAAGTATTGACCATACTTAAAGGTATAAATGTGGTTTCAAATGATGTGTAGTCGTAACTACCAAAACCAAAAGTGTACAGTAAAATCTGTACTCATAGAGATAAAAAGTGATTTTAAATCGACATAAAACTCATTTAGGTTTTAAAGATAAAATCCCATAAACTTATGGATTGTTATATCCTATGTGAGTCGCTATAATCATACTATGACTATGTGAACCTGCCACGACGTTCTCAGGCGTCGCGAAAACTGAAATGACATTTATCACCCGTAGACCTGCAGGTCCCACTGTAGCTAGCAGCAAGGTGTGGGGTGTCAAACCCAATATAGATCTATATACAAGTATCACGTTCTCCCTCAAGGAGATTCTGATTATAACTACCAGGAATTATATCCCGCACTCGGACGTACGGGGAGAGAGAGAGAGAGAGAGAGAGAGAGAGAGAGAGAGTCTCACAATATAGGATAACAAGTTTACGTGAAATGTGTGTGAATATAAATCTTTCTTGTATGAATGTACCCTTTTTGTACGAGTGTGTTGAGTGATGTATCATAAACTATACCTATTATAGTTTATCTAAAATGTATGTAATATGTATGAACTCTTTTATGGAAATGTATTAGTGTTATGAATTTATCAAACTATAGGTTAACAAGTTTACGTGAAATGTGTGTGAATATAAATCTTTCTTGTATGAATGTACCCTTTTTGTACGAGTGTGTTGAGTGATGTATCATAAACTATACCTATTATAGTTTATCTAAAATGTATGTAATATGTATGAACTCTTTTATGGAAATGTATTAGTGTTATGAATTTATCAAACTATATGTTAACAAGTTTACGTGAAATGTGTGTGAATATAAATCTTTCTTGTATGAATGTACCCTTTTTGTACGAGTGTGTTGAGTGATGTATCATAAACTATACCTATTATAGTTTATCTAAAATGTATGTAATATGTATGAACTCTTTTATGAAAATGTATTAGTGTTATGAATTTGTCAAACTATACCTTTATAGTTTAATATATGTGTTCTAAAATGAATGATTAATATTTATTATGAATTACTTAGTTTCAGTTCATGATGACAAACTAACAAGGAAACACATTCAATAATTAGAACTTATGATTATACACTTTGCTCAACATAATACAAAGTGTTATGATATTTACATGCTGTTGGCTAACTTTAGCCATTCTGCCCTGTTTTGGAAAAATCATAGAAAAATCATACGAAGTCGAAAGCTAGATCCGTAAATTCCGAGAGTTCAAAAAATGTGTCTAGTTTACTCATAATTTTTATCACGATTTTTAACGACCTCCAACTTGGATGAAAAAGTCCATAATCACAGACTGGTCCGGGTTGTTGTTTGAAATGATAGGCAGTTTTGTAAAAATCACCATAAATGGTAGAAAAATCGTATGGAGATGTGCAAGTAGTCATTTTAAAGCTAAAAACTTGAACTATTTGCAACTTGTATAGTTCTATAAACAAAAATGTTTAAGATGCCCAAAACAGTCCGTGAATGGAGTTGAACTTTTCTGATGAAGGCTATTAGAAAATTTTAGTTATGTTCTTAGTGTTTTAACTTGTATTCCCCCCCTGAAAACTTGAGAAAACATGAAAATGTAGGGGTATGAACTCACCTTGAGTGATTTCAGTAGATAAGTGTTGAAGAAGAGAAGTGTTCAAGCCAAGAACACTTGAAGAATCACTTGAAGATTCGAAGCTCTAACACAAATATGATGGAATTTGTGTAAGATATCCATGATTTGAGTGGAAATAAGTGAGATAATCATAAGGAGAATGGATTATGCTTACCAAATGTGGAAGAACACTTGATAATCAGCCTTGAATCTCGAGTTTGGTGGAGAAAAAGTTTGAGAGAAAAGTGGTGTTTGATACTTAGTGAAATGAGAGAAAATGAGAGAAATGAGGAGAGAGGATGTTTGTTTCAGCTCTAAAAATGTGGGAATGGGTGGAAAATGAGTGCAAGGGGTATTGATGTGACTTAGGTAAGGTGGGGAGGTATGGCTGGTTATAGAGTGGGTGTGGGGTGGTTGCTTGTGACATTGGATAAGGCAAAGTCAACACTCCACCTTTAATAATTCACCCATTTGATTTTTATTATTTAGATAATGATTTTCATCAAAATATGTTTAAATTATGAATATTTAGGGTTTATTATGTTAAAATATAATTTCTGGAGAAAATCCCGCTTTAAAATCATGAAAAACGGGCTTAAAATCTTAAAAATATCAAAAATGGGCTAAAAGTGACAATTTTCCGAATTTTGGCCGAGGTTCGGCCTTCTGATGCTGAAACCGAGAGGAGGGAGGGTAGAAACCGAGAGGGGAGAAGGGAGAGAGCAGGAACCGACAGTGGAGAAGAGAGAGGGAAGGAACCGAGAGGGGGGAGGAGAGAACAGAGAGGCGCGAAGAGACAGAGAGGAGAGAAGGAGCAGAGACCGAGAGGAGGGAAGAGACAGAGAGGCGGAGTAGAGACCGAGAGGAGGGAAGAGACAGAGAGGCGGAGTAGAGACCGAGAGGAGGGAAGAGACAGAGAGTGAAGAAGCGACAGAGACGGCGACAGAGACAGAGCGAGAAGCGAACAAAGGAGGCGACAGAGACAGAGCGAGAAGCGAACAGAGGAGGCGACAGAGACCGAGACTCGGTCTCAGCTACAGGGGCTCGGTCCTCCGGGTTCAGCCAACAGAGGCTCGGTCCGGTCTGTGCTCTCGGTCCTAGGTCTCGGCCTTAAGGAGCTTCGGCTCCTTGAGAAGGGTTTCGGTTCCTAAGGTCCATTTTTCTCGTTTTTACCCCGTTTTAAGCCGTTTTTGACCCGGTTAAGGGCTGGAATGACCCGAATGATTCTAAAAAGTTACGGGAACTATTTGAGGGAGATTTGGGAGAGATTTCTCATACTTGGAGAGATTTGGGAGAGATTTGACATTCTTGGAGAGATTCCTCATACAAAGAGATATTTGAGAGAGGTTTCACATACTTGGAGAGATTTGGGAGAGATTTGACATTCTTGGAGAGATTTCTCATACAGAGAGATATTTGAGAGAGATTTCACATACTTGGAGAAATTTGGGAGAGATTTGACATTCTTGGAGAGATTTCTCATACAGAGAGATATTTGAGAGAGATTTCACATACTTGGAGAGATTTGGGAGAGATTTGACATTCTTGGAGAGATTTCTCATATAGAGAGATATTTGAGAGATATTTCACATACTTGGAGAGATTTGGGAGAGATTTGACATAGAGAGATAGAGTGAAAACGATTGAGAGAGGTTCCATGTGTGACAATTGTGAGTGTCCGGCATCGCAATGCATGGTTCATAAACCCTGTTAAGCCTTGTTTAAGGATCTCACACACTCCCGATGAGTATGCAACATTGTTTTATCGGTTTGGGCTCGCCACGTACCACGGTTTTAGGTTAAGGAGATCTAGATGTTCGCACTTTTTGATTTATGATCTCTCATTAGAATAGAGAGTTATGTAGAAATTTCATAATGTAAATTCTAGTACCCAAGGGCAAATTGAGTAAAATGGTTTGACTTGTTGACTTTAGTTGACTTTGACTTGACCGAAATTTGACAATTGTCACAATTCGATTTGAGAATAACACAATTGAATGAGGAAGATAAGAGTATGGATGTTAAAGAAGGAAGCAATCCCGTAATTAGATATACAAAAAAATCAGTAGCGGAAGACAAACTGAAAAAAAAAAAAAAGAACTGGTACAGATATTATGGAAAGGGAAATGGTGCATGTTATGATTTCAAAAATGGGAAAGGTAAAAGGAAGGGGAAACTTGGACAATTGGTGTGTTCATCATATGTAGATCGGATAATAGATGTCGATGAGGCGGTTAAAGATGATGAAAACGTTGTAGCTCAAAACATAATAACATGGGGGAAAGACAAAGGGTAAGAATGTACATTTTATGTGACTCAATTAAAATGGATTTTTTCGTCGTGACATTTTTATTGTATTATGTTTAAATTGCAGAGAATTTATATGGGAAACTGTTGATGGTCATGGAATGCATTTAGAAGTTACACGTACGTTAGCTATCAGAAAAAAAGTGCATACCAATGTAATAGACGCGTAGGCTGATCTCCTTAATAAAACTGAAGAAATGAAGTCAGAGGCTTCTTACTCTAGGATGTACTTGACATGCGATACGATTGTAAGTTTTTATGAATAAGATGTGTGTTGTATGTCATATTCCGCTATGAATTGTAATATGGTCGGTATTTTGTTATGATAAAACAGACAGATTGCATGGTTGATGAAGCTGTAGATGAGGAGCTAAGGTACAATAAATTCAGAATTATGTTTATAGTTGTGATTAATGACATAGCGGAAAAACCAGATTTGAAAACAGTGGATTTGATATGGAATTGTTATTTTTTTACAGTTTTTAGACTTGATTGGTATCACACATGTATATGGAACTGATGTTGATATTGTTTAAATGTAGGTTTTCATACCAATTGTTGTTGATGAAAGTTACTACCTAGTGTGTTTTGTTTGAAAAGGGTTGCATTTTATATATTTGATCACATAAAGAGGTCTGGGACAATTGAGTATGCATATGGGAGTAGACCACGTTATTGGATTAGTGTCTAAGTCCATAACTATTTTGGTATGTACTTGACCCGATGGTGCATGGTCCTTTTGGGTTGCCTTCACCAAAGCAACTTGATTGGAGAAATAAATAGAGAGAGAGGTTATTATGATTTATTAATATGTTATAAGAATAATATATTAAAGGAGAAATCATATTTGTTTAATTAATATTGGTCAATAATTAATTAGGAATTAATTTTGCGATCAAGTGTAATTAATTAAACTAGAGGGGCTGAATTGTAATTATGTGATAGTTACAAAATAAGGTAAGAATTATCTTATTAATGGGTTGGACGAATCTAAGGTGATAAGGCCTTAGAATTCGACTAGGATAAGGGTTTCTAAGACTTATCTAATGGTTACTTGGTGGGCAAGCAACTAGATAAGGATAAGGACTAAAACCCTAATCTTTACACCTATATAAACCCTCTAAGGCTCATGAATTCGTGTATCCCTTCCCAAGAGGTCCTAGAGAAGAATTTCTATACCTCTCCTCTCTCTTTATAACTTCTCAATTTGCTCTTGGTGTTTGTAAGCCATTAGAGGAGTGACACTTGTGACTCTAAGCCTTCCAAAATCAATTCAAAGAGGAATTAGGATTGTTATTGCTACATAACAATCAAGGTAATATCTTAAACCTAATTATATGTTAATATTGATTTCCATATACTAGAATTAGGGTTTATAGTCTTGGATTCAAAGTATGTACAATAGAGAAACCTAGATCCAAGCTTTAGGGTTTGTATGAGCACATATGATGTCTTATGACCAAAACCCAACAGTGGTATCAGAGCCTAGGATGGTTTCAATTGTATTGATGCATTGTATATCTAAAAAATTCGATTTTTTGGTGTTCTAGAGGCTGGACTCGCCGAGTCCATAGTTGAACTCGACGAGTCCAGACTTGACTCAACGACTCAACTCGTCAGATAGTGCTTATCTCGGGATTTCTTGCTGTTTTTGCATATGGATAGTTACCTTATCATGTTAGATCAATATTAATCCGATTATATGATATATTTGACTATATTTTTTATCTAAATGAAGATATTTATCAATTAATAAGATAATTGTTTCCTTATAAGATAATTGATTAATTATTTTGAGTAAATTGATAAATTGTTTTGCAAGAAATCATTAAATAAATCAAATATGGATAATTATGTGATTAAATGTTAATTTAAAATTATTTGTTACTTGATCCTTGTTGTTATGAAAAGTTTTATATTTTCCCCTTTAGGTTTTATAGTTTAAATTTGAACCCAAAAGTTTTGAAGTTTTGAAATTTAAATAGTTAAAACCCTAATGTTTTGAAAAAGGTTTCAAAACTTGCCCTCAAGTTTTGGAATTTAAAAGTTGATTAGGAATGTTAAATTCTAAAACCCTAGTAATGTTTTGAAAAGTTCAAATCACTCTCTTATGGTTTTATTAATTGATTAAGGTGTATGATTAAAAGAGATTTAATAAATCCATAAAAGTTTTGGTTTGCAATTTAATTGAATTAAAAGTATAATTATTAAATTTGACCACCTAGTATTTTAAAAGTGTAAAATACACCCTATACTATATAACATTAAAAGTCTAACATTATATATATATATGTATGAGTAAAAGTCAGTCTTACTGTTAGTAGGCCTAATTCACGAAGCTGGTCTATAAGGGGTGTTTAAGGAAATTGCCTATAAAATGGCGATTGAATGGGTATCCACTCTTACCCACCGCACGCTTGACTAGTGGAGGGTCATTAGCCGAACGGGTAGGATAGGACGAAACCTTCCATTATAAGTATAATGAAATACAAAGTAACTAAATGTTTTTCAAATTCCTAATCTTAGTTACTTAGGCAAAAGTGAATTGATGCAATTCCATGAAATTACACTTTGTGCCCTTGTGAAGACGTTAGTGGAGCGTGTGTGGTTTACCGGCACACTAAATGGTTCTAAGCAAAAGTAGCAAAGGGTGACTCAATGTTTGTCATAGTTCGGTGGAGCGTGTGTGGTTTACCGGCACATCGAATAGGTGACTGTAACATGTGAGGGCACCATGTAACTTTGCATGGTTATCCACACTCGCTTTGTGATCCTCGGCATCCCAGTCACAAACGAGAGGTTCATATCGAGATTTAAACATGCCATTGAAATGTTCAATGAATCTCAAAGGATCTAGGAGTTTTCATAGATTTAAAACTTAAATTTATTTTTTTTGTTTTTCATGGTGGAAATTGGTGAATCGTCATTCACTTACCTTCAAATATTCTGCAACTAGATTACGGCATCTCTTTTCTAGATTGTAGCGTATTATGTTGGGTCCTAGCCTTAGTATCTTATTTGGGTGATTTACTAAGGACTCAATCGATCAACTAACTTGAATTTGTTTTCTCCCATTTTGTAGATGTCAAAATTCGACAACCATGGTCTTCCTAAATCCCGTGGAACAAGCATTCCACATGAAGATGGTATTCCACGATTCGATCGAGGAACAAGAAATCATGCTTCACTTCCTCCACCTCCTCCAATTGTTCTCCCTAACCCACAAGATCGAAGAATTGAAAGGTTCAATATCACTAAGGCCCTATTGGAAATGAAACATGAAGATGGTAAATCCGTGTGTGCCCACGTTCTAGGAATGAAATCACACATTGATAGGTTGATAATGTTGGGTGTGTCATTCCCCCGATGAGTTGGCTGTGAACTGGGTTCTACAGTCACTCCCTGAATCATATAATGAGTTCAAAAGAAAGTATTATATGATGGATCATGACGATAACCTCATTGACCTAACTTACATGCTCATTTCTGCTGAATCAGAAATGATTTGGCGAAGCAATGGAGCGTATTTGTTGGGAAAGTCAACCAACCATGCTTCCCGAGGACGTTCTAGGAGAACCGACCTACGTTTGTTGCCAAGAGAAAGGGCGTTGGATACAAGTCTGCCCAAGGAGCCTGAAGAGTCCAGAAGATGGGAGAGTCAAAGAGTATGACTGTGCCTCAGGTAAAATCCACTATCTAACTTCGTTAAGTTCCTATTCATTGATTCAAATACATGATGTGATAAGATTGCATTTGAATGTTTTGCAGGATCGGTGAAAAGAAAGGAAGCTTGGTGAAAGAGCAAGATGAATCTAATCACAAGAAATGGATCTTGATCGCATGGACTTGAAGATTAGATTTCGAGCTTAGATAGTTATGATAGAGTTGTTAGAAATTTTCTTTTTTAAATATATAGTTTTCAATGGATTTTGCGTTGTAAGGACAAATGTTTTCCGCTGCTTTTATAAATAAAATAAATTTTGGTTTGAAATATTTATTTTTTTGTTTACTTCCTTGCAATGAAATCGTTATGAAAAGTGATGTTTGAATATTTCTACAACAAATGGATATGATTCTTATTTATGGTGTTTATGGAAAAAGTCGAGAATTTACCAAATAGGGAAAGTTTCTTATCACCCAAATTTCAATTGGATAGAAATTTGGAATCACGCAACTTGGTTGCATGATGAATGGGAAATTTCATATTTAGAAATTAGACTAATTCGTTGACAAAGTGTCAAGTGAAGGACTAGGAGATCGAGTACACAAAGTTGCGTGTTGATCAAGTCCACCATAAGAGTAACAAAGATATTCGTCATAATTTACTAAAGGTTTAGTAAATATGATTATACTCATAAGATTAAGTGTAATTCGGAATTGATTAAAAAGGTTTAAATCAATAGCAAAACGAATAAGAAGAATCAAGTAGGCAGAAAGATAAAAGTTTCTCCATTCTAAGAAGAAGGAGAGTACCTTTTATGCTTTATGATAGGTCTTAATGATTAAGAACCATATCTTAATTGATCCTCTTACAAAGTCTTAGCACAATTGTATGTCTAAGAAGAGGAATCAAGAATTGAAGAAATGGTTAAATCAAAAGGTCAATCGTACTTCGTTCCAATAACAAGTCTTAAAGTTAAGATTGTGACGTCAAGTGACAAGTATTAAGAAGGTTTATAACATTCATCAAATGTGGAAAGTTGTGATGTATTGGATAAGACAAAGACCAACTAGGACAAATTTATGAAGTGTTTTGATAAAAACTACACTAACTCTTGAATATTTGTTTGTCAATAAATGTTTATTGATAAGAGAATCTTATATGTCAAGGAGTCAGTAGGAGTCTTAATAGTCTTGAAAAGTTTCAAGAACAAATCAAATAAACCTTATCGATCATCACTAGCACACGAGTTGAGGTTTACAACCTATCGTGTTGACATTATTTTGTTTCTGTGTTATTCCAATTAAGTTAATTATGCATGTGAGTTATTTGAGTTCTCATTTTGAATGCATAAAAGGCAAGGCCCCTTGATCAATGAAAGGTACATTGATAGGAAAAAAGTGAGATGCTTAACTACTTGGAAGACGTGGTGGGCAGCTGTGCTACCATAAGGCAAGAAATCAAGATTAAGAAAGTTCGGTCCATATGAGTTTGAATTTGTTGTAAACTTTGGTTTTAACAAATTCACATGGATAGAAACACATACACCGTTTAAATCTAAGTGTCATAAGATTTCCTTCTTCATGAAAATGATTGTGAGGAAATGATTTCACTAAGAAAGATTTTAAGAAGATAGTGATTGTAAAATTGCATTCTCGAATTCGATTATGGTCACGGTATCCCTTTCCATGATTTGAATTGTGAGGTTTGGCAATTAGTCTTAATTGTTTAGACACACATATGAACTATCTAAGGCAAAGGTGTATACGTTCAAGGAGCTTTGATAAAAGATAATCAAAGTACTAAGTATTATAAACATTGACTTAAGAAATTCAATAAGTATTGTTTTCTGAAAGTTAAGATGTTTATGACTACATGTCGAAGCTAGTGGGAGCATAAGTGTTATGTTTTATAATAATCA